TTTGGACCAGGGAGGGTCAGGTACAGCACTGACCTCTTTCTCCCTCTCAGGGATTGCTATTTTGTTTGCATTGTTACTGAATCGTAGGTCATAACGGTTGTTACATTACTTACAGTTTGTTAAATTTTGTCCATTGTCGGCAGTTTTTAGTTAACATACCCTTTTCATGTCATGTCTTATTCATTGAGTAATATTATCTTGTGCATTTTCACTTGCTTTATTTATTAATGATCTCACTACATTTCCGCTTAGCAGTCATATACAGGGTAGAAATATTTGTTCCGTTCATTTTGAATTTCGTGCAAAGCAACAGGAAGGCTATCTGCGCTAGCTGTTCCTAATTTAGCAGTAATAGACAACAGGGAAGATAGATAGTCAACACAACCCACCACAAACTCTTGGGATAATCTTTCACAAACGAATAGTAGGACTTACTGTGACTTTATGATGCCCCCACGGCTGAAAGGGCGAGCTTGTTCCGTGATGAGGATTCGAAGCCGTGATCCTCAGATTACGAGTCGAGCACTCTAACCACCAGGTTATGCCAGGCCAAAATATTTGTTTAAATGCTAAGTGTTCTGGAGCCCAAATATGGCACTCTTGGTTTTCGTTGCTCAGTACATAGTTTGTTTGTTTGAAGTTAAGCGCAATGTTACACAATGGGCTATCTGTGCTCTGCCCACCATGGGTATTGAAACCAGGTTTCTAGCGTTATAAGTCCGCAGCCAAGCCGCTGTGCCACTAGGGGGCTAGTACATAATACAGCAGGCTTATTTAAAGAGTTTATTGGATTTTTTGTCATAAAATGTTTTCTAGCTGCAATTTAAAATGTGGAAAACGATTACTTATTTTTTTATCGAATTAAAAGCATAGAAAGAGCTACATGTATTTTGTACTGTTCTTATTTTGCCTTTAATGAACAATGTTCAATTTCTGTAGAGATATTGTTACATATCTGCTTGTTTGTTAACTTCCGCTAGAAATTCTTTCCGAGAAACTTCAGCGGTGCAAGCCCTTTCTTGATTAAACCAATTTATTCTTTCTCGATACAAACTTTTAGTATACAGTAATTCCTACCAATCAGTACGTTTCTCGTCA